TTCTAACATCCCCTACTTTACTTTGCTCTACTCCCCTTTCTCTTATCATTTTCTCTCATGTTTCCCTTTATTATCTTTCCTTCCATCTTCAACTACTGTTACATGGTTTAGACTACTGTGGTGTCTGTTATTGCTTATCGCAAGAATGTTCTTGTGATATTATATCACAATACACGACTCATGAGTTAGTTCTAGAATATGATGCTGGCAAATCTCAGAAATCCACTTTTTTAAATCGCTTTATTTGTTATTGTTCTTGACAATTATATTTTAAGCAACAATATTTCTAACTGGCTTCTATTATTGTAAGATGTCTCCTTGAAGTGATTGATTGTGATGTATTTTCTTTACATTTGGATGTGTCTATAAATGTATATTTAATCCACTGTAACAAAATGTACATGCATACCTTTTGAAAGAACTTTTTCAATAAACATAATAATAAAAATAAAACATAATAAACATTTAAATTCATGGCAGAGCTGCTATAAGGGAGCTGCTTACATTGAAAGTCAATATACAGACAAATAGATTGATTTAAAGAACAGAAATCAAGGACCCCTGTGTCGCAAATGTGCGCAACACACAGTGAAGGACGCAGACTCCATTTTGTTAAGAGCATCCGTTTCTCCCTTATTCTCCTTCACCCTCCCTTCCTGGGAGGCCCAGGGACATGTGGCCAGTATGTGTGTGAGTTAGGAATGTCACAGGAGGGTCATAGGAGCCGTAAAGGCCCCCAAGAGAGTTGGAGTCTCTCTTTTCACATCGTCAGATGGCCAATGAGCAGGTAAACAGTTTGATGGGTCACTCGCCTTGTCTCGAACACACAGGAAAGCAGAAAAATAGATCTCGCAAACTGTACAGTGTACACATTCATAATTCATATTTAAATAATCCTTAGACTTGTCTGCATAATAATCTACCTGCGGGTGGAATGTCCCTTATGCAGATGGACAGTTATGGGCCAAAATATGAGTTATGGATGAATTTTGCTCTAGTTGAGGCATCCGCCCATAACTACGCGCCCTAAACGGGTTATTGGGCCTTGACTTAAGAGACACCCCCTGCTGGGGACTACAAAATAGGCTCACAGACCTAAGAGTAAAGAGTTGAAACATTCTCCCATTTTTCCATCGTAACATAGGGAGATCAAAGCACCCTTCTGCTCTGAAACTTGGATCTGCTAACCCAGGACTTTGGCAAGTACTTTAACCCTTTCACCTCTCTCTGATATCTCTTTGCTGTGCTATGGTTCTTTGTATATTTATATATATAACTTAGTTACATCTTTGTTCTGTAAATATTTTTATTGCTCCTGTTTGACCTTTTAGTAATAAATCTTTCTTTCTGAAAGTGTTGAACTGTTTCTCTAGCTCTGTATTGCAACTCACGAATTTCTGCCTCTAAAGAGACGCTACTGTGGCTGTTTAAACCTCTGTATAACCGGCCTGTGGACCGTTTTATATAGACGATTATCTCAATCATTATAGTGTTATAGCTGATAATGCCGAGTTTCCTCTTTCTCTGTACAAAAAGGAGGTAGTGGCAGTGTGAAGGGTTAATTGCGTAATTAACCTGACCCAGTAACAATCACTCAGGTTACCGGTACATCGATCTGTATCCATTAGCTGGAAAATCGTTGTGCAGGGTGCAGCTGGGTGTGTCATTGTTACGCACGTCACATCGCGGTTTTAGATCGGCTAGCCCTTCGGTCACGAGTTTGGGTGAGAAGGTCTGGGGTCTGACGCCGCGATCATAACATATTGGTGGCAGCGGTGGGATAGTTGCATTAAGAGCTTCAGTGCAGTGTTAAAAAATTGGCTCTGCGCTGAAGGATTGTAACCTTTGTGGAAACAGTCCTTAGAAACAAGCAGTGAATATTTTTTTAGAGCAACAGCTCCTTCCTTTTGCTACTTTCTATTCTGTCTTTGCTTGCAATCATGCCTGGTGCAGCAGAATACGAGAAAATGAGCAAAGGTGATTTGAATGTACCTCACAAGGATTGGACGTCGGTCGCAAAAATTGTGAAGATTTGATTAGTGATCTAGCGGAGTTTGATATCCGAGCAGATCAGAACTCGGGGGAACTTGAACATGAAGGGGTTCCCGATACCCACATTCCCAGTGGCTCAGAGACGGCCTCCCAGGATGGGCATACAGAGACTGACACTGGAAGATCACCGAGTGGTATTGTCACACCACCGCCTGAGAGGGCCAGCACCGGAGTGCCTGTAACCAGCAGAGACTCTCCTCAGATGCAGGAAGCCCTGAAATGCCTCATGGAGACAGATCTTGAGGCATACCCGCGGTTCCTTGAATGCCAGGCTGACAGAGAAACTGCAGAACGGCAAGCAGCGGCTGACAGAGAAACTACGGAATGCCAAGCAGCGGCTGACAGAGAAACTGCGGAATGCCAAGCAGCGGCTGACAGAGAGGAACGCCGAGCAGCAGCTGAGAAAGAGGTGCAGAGGGAAGCTGATCGTCGGAACGAGCTGGAGATGGCAAGGCTCCAGCCCCAGCGACCGGCTCAGAACCTCGGGTCCCTAGAGCACAGGGACACCACTTTATCATGATTATGATATTCATGATGAAACAAATGATGCATTTTCAGTGTTGGGGGTCACCCACAGTGCTGTGAAGGGGGCAGAGGTACAATCTCTGGGGGGCTGAGCAAAGGGATGGTCTGGCTAGGCCTGTCCCTTACCCAGGCTCAGAAGATTATGCCTTGATAAGTGCACAGCAGTTGGCCTTGCATGGTAGTGGGCAGCCGGCTGGGACTTGTAGTTTCACGCGCAAGGCAGCACTGAATAGCAATTCCCAAATGAACTTCAGAGGTCAGCTAGCTCTGGGTTGTCCCGCTGAGAAGGGTAAACCGGCTGGGACTTGTAGTTCCATGCATAAGGTGGCACTGAAAAGCGTTCCATCAAGGACCTTCAGAGGCCAGCTAGCTGGGACTTGTAGTTCCACAAGTAAGGCAGCCCTGGAAAGCCATTCATCTGGGGATTTCAGCCTCTTTCTAAATGTGTGCTCCCCTGCTGCGGAGAGTAAACACAGGCCTGACAGGAAGAATGGCCTATCCACAGGGGGCTGGGAGCCTGAAAGCCTGTCATTTTATCTCACCTGTCATGGTGTGTCAACAGGCAGGGACAGCACACGTGGATTGGAAATGCGAGGGATCTCTGGAGCTCAGAGGGGGCTGCGGTCCTCAGCTCCAATCCCCTCTCCTTTCCATTCAGGTCCTGAAGTTGCTGGCAATGCCTATGAAAGATGGTGTCTGGATTCAGGAGAATCTGGGGAGAGCTCACCGTGCGGTTCAGAAGCTAAACGGCAGAATGTCTGCCTCCCTCCTGTCTTCAACATACCCTCCCAGGAGGTTGTGAGATGGGGAAACAGCTCTCATTGTTTGAATACTGCTTGTGTGGAGTAAATTAAATGTTTTGACTGACATTCTGCAGTTTAGCCACAAGATGTCACTGTTTTTCTAACACAGCCTCAGACTGCATAAATATTTCTATATTCATGAAGAGGTGGAGTTTTCATAGAGAGAGTGGAGCGAGAACAGGAAGGAGAGAGAGAAGCCATGTTCTGGAGCATGGTGAATAAGGGGCCCTGTGAGCTGAGAATCTGATGGCATCCAGGTGTGAAAGCATTCCTCAGTAACCAGAGCTGCAGCTAAGTGAAGCTGATTGTGTCCAAGACCCTGATCCTGTTCAGAGAAAGGAAGATTGCTGCCAGGAATGCTGATGAGAGCAGAGGAACTAAACAGCATATACTGCGATACCGCATGCTTGTTGGAGAGACATTTGTTCTGTTCAGAGTCACCAGCGGATACAAAGCAGACCCGGGTCAGTAAGATCGTGCATGCACCTCATTTCAGTGTTGGCGCCTAGAGACTGAGGCCAGGCCTATAGTTAGTTAGTTAGGTGTCAGGCCACAAGTGTTGTTACTGATTATTGGAAGGACTCCACAACTTAAAGTGACATTTCACATTGGAGAGCTGATAAAATCCAACAAACTCAAGCCAGACTGGCGTTTTGCTCAGAAGGAATACTCAGGCACGTGCTACAGGACCAGTTATGGGAAAGGGAATACTGTAGATTTGTGTAAGATTGTAAGCTGTTGTGCTGCACCGCAGGCTAGCCCATACCATACACCCATACACTGATTCCTGCTCTTTTAGGGTAATAGCAGGTAAGGTGTGGCAGCTTAGTTGTGCCCACCAGTAGGTAAATTATTTCACTTTCTACCTTCATCCATCAGAAATCGCCATGCTGTGCAGCACAAGGGTCTCAGCCTTTGGGCTTGGTGTATGTAAATTTATTGTATGTTTCCAGCATTTGTGGTTGTGTTTATTTGCCACATCTAAGTAAAATTCTGTTGTGGCAAAAGCTGGTGTTGAGGTTGCTTTCCTCGTTCGTGACTTCACTGTATCCTGGGGAGCCCACTCCGGTACACGGCTTACAAGGTGCAGGCTGAATGGGCCAAAGAGACCGAGGCAATGGCGCAGTCAGGAATCCAGGGGTCAGCTCGAGTCTGGGCATCCCCGTTATTCTCAATCCCCAAACAGGATCCGATGACCAGGCTTTTTGAGGACCTTGGAAAACTGAGCGCCTGCCCTGTGGTTGTGGCCTACCCCATGCCCAGGAGCCATGAGGTAATGGAGCATCCGGAAGGGGCCAGCTGTCTAACCATCATGGACCTGAGCAGAGGGTATGGGCCACATCTCCAACCCAGGAGGTTCAGGACGAGTCAGCCTTCACCACCCCATGTGGCTTGCCTGAATTGACGGGGAAGCTATTTGGGGTTGAGAATGCACCAACCACCTCCCCAGGGGTCAGGAATGCCCTGAAATACAGAGTGGAACTGGGTGCAGTTGCCCGCTTTAGGGGCCTTGCGGTGTTCGGCCCTGTCTGGGAAGAGCAACTCGGGCCCCTGTCACTAGTTAGGACCGAACTGCCCGTGCCTAGTCTGACAGTCAAGAAAGATAACTGTCAGAGGGGCATGTCAGTGGTTCAGTTTTGAGAACCACTGGTAGGGAGAGACCCCAAGAGGTCTGGGCATGGGGAGACGGAGGCAGTGGTGGCCTGGCCTGCTCCCCAGGCCAAAAAGCAGGTTACGTCAGTCGTGGTTACGTCAGTCGTGGATGCAGCCGGTTACGGTAAGACGCCTGGGTGCAACTACCATGGCTCAGCTGGACCTGTGACTGACCTAGCAGACAGGAAACTGGAGGAATTGGTGTCCTGGATGCTAGCAGGAAAAAGAGGACTGTTCATCTTGGATGAAGGTACCTGTGGACACATCTGGGAGGCGAGTTCCAGAATTCGCCTGTCCGGTTCTGGTGCACACAGGCGCCACTACCTTCGGGCCAGATGTAGTCCTAGGCCTGAGGAAGAAGATGGTAGAGGGAAATCTCCTTCTCTACCTCAACAAGAAACTGCACATTAATATGTTAGCAGATGACACCCCTGAGCCGAAGTGTTTTGTGAACAGGTGGGCACCCCGGCAGTCGCCACAGTTTTCGGATAGCCACAGCCGACTGGGGCCCACCAATGACCACTCACTTGGTCGGCACAGCAGTGTTGCCAGGGAGAAAAGATTCCTTTTCAGATGGAACTTGGTACTCCCGTAGTGCAGTGGTACCAGGGCGACCCAAGGTGAACCTCTGGGCAGAGGTCGGTTGCGTCAGGAGGGAAATTGTAGTTCCCTCCCAAGCAACTACCTGAGGGGGAGGTGTCGCAAATGTGCGCAACACACAGTGAAGGACGCAGACTCCATTTTGTTAAGAGTATCCATTTCTCCCTTATTCTCCTTCCCCCTCCCTTCCTGAGAGGCCCAGGGACATGTGACCAGTATGTGTGTTAGTTAGGAATGTCACAGGAGGGTCATAGGAGCCGTAAAAGCCCCCAAGAGAGTTGGAGTCTCTCTGTCCACAGAACCTGCCAATTGTGACACCTCCTAAGAGATAAGGCAAGCTTTCTCAGGGGTTGAAAGAGATTCCGACCTCATAAACCTAGCTCAGCATAGGTGATAGAATCAGATAACCTCTGTTAAAACCATGTTTTCCCCTTTGTCTCATATCTTGGAATATGAGAGACTTACATAAAAAACCAGACATATCGTCAGATGGCCAATGAGCAGGTAAACAGTTTGATGGGTCAGTCGCCTTGTCTCGAACACACAGGAAAGCAGAAAAATAGATCTCGTGAACCACACAGTGTACACGTTCATAATTCATATCTAAATAATCCTTAGACTTGTCTGCATAATAATCTACCCGCGTGTGGAATGTTCCTTGTGCAGATGGACAGTTATGGGCCAAAATATGAGTTATGGACAATTTTTGCTTTAGTTGAGGCATCCGCCTATAACTACACGCCCTAAACGGGTTATTGGGCCTTGACTTAAGAGACACCCCCTGCTGGGGACTACAAAATAGGCTTACAGGCCTAAGAGTAAAGAGCTGAAGCATTCTCCCATTTTTCATCGTAACATAGGGGGATCAAAGCACCCTTCTGCTCTGAAACTTGGATCTGCTAACCCAGGACTTTGGCAAGTACTTAAACCCTTTCACCCCTCTCTGATATCTCTTTGCTGTGCTATGGTTCTTTGTATATTTATATATATAACTTAGTTACATCTTTGTTCTGTAAATATTTTTATTGCTCCTGTTTGACCTTTTAGTAATAAATCTTTCTTTCTGAAAGTGTTGAACTGTTTCTATAGCTCTGTATTGCAACTCACGAATTCCTGCCTCTAAAGAGACGCTGCTGTGGTTGTTTAAACCTCTGTATAACCGGCCTGTGGACCGTTTTACACAGACGATTATCTCAATCATTATAGTGTTATACAAAAAGGAGGTGGTGGCAGTGTGTCCGTTTTACACAGACGATTATCTCAATCATTATAGTGTTATACAAAAAGGAGGTTGTGGCAGTGTGAAGGGTTAATTGCGTAATTAACCTGACCCAGTAACAATCGCTCAGGCTGCCGGTACATCGATCTGTATCCATTAGCTGGAAAATCGTTGTGCAGGGAGCAGCTGGGTGTGGCATTGTTACGCACGTCACATCGCAGTTTTAGATCGGCTAGCCCTTCGGTCACGAGTTTGGGTGAGAAGGTCTGGGGTCTGATGCCGCGGTCGTGACACCATGCACAGGTAATGTCAGCAATATGAGGGATTATTCAAATTTATATGGCTGTTTAAGTAAAACCTAATTTTACAATCATGTAAAAAACTTTGTTGCGCTTGTTATTGTGCTTGAATTTAGAAGGTATGTTTCAATTCACTGACTTAACAATAATTAAAGGATATGATCAACACTTTTCCATGTATTTATTGATGTATTATGTTCTAGTACTATTTTTTAGTACTAGAACACAATTTCTTTGTTTGTTTTAGGGCTTGTTCACATCAGGCATGTTGAGCTGTGTTGATCAATGCAGGCTCAATACAAAAGCACAGAGAAAACAGTTGTTCTTTATGTTCTTTGTTCAAGCTATGCATGCTGCATTTTTACTCAGTGCAATACATGTCAATGCATATCAATGCACCACAGGGAATTTTAATGAAGTTAAAAAGAGAAAAGCAAACAGTGCAATGTATTATAACAATGCATCATACTACCCCTACACAACGCACACCACTATGTGTATGTTATGTGGTGCGTAATAGACATATGCATTTAATTGCATTTGATTCGTTTTTTTTGACCGAAAATTTCATTTTCAGAAATTAAGATGCATCCAAATTCCTAAAAAAAAGTTATAACATAACTGACGGTTTGCCGGCAAAATCTTTTTAAAATAAAAACAGTGTGCCCCCCCCCAATAAATAATAGGCCTGCCACACGTCGAACACGACCAGTCCCACCGAGAGATGGGACACTCACTCAGGTAAACATTAAAACAGGGTCACCCGGTGACATTGCTGGGTTTATGTGTCATTCAGTGAGTGTCTCTGGACAGGCCCGATCGTGTTCGGCAGGGGACGGGGTTTTTTTTTTCATGTGGGTCAGCGTTCATCATGATTGATGCTGGATTTACATTGGGGGACATGTTTTGTTTGTTTGTTTGTTTGTTTGTTTTTTTAATAAAGGACTTGCCAAAACCTCTCTATGTGTTTTTATTTACTTTTAATTTTTTTTGGTGAATGAGTAATACTCATTCACATAGGGGGTGAGCCGGGATCTGGGCTTTCAGATTCTGATAAGTCACCTCCTCCCTGACGCACTCCGACAAGCATCAGACCAGGGTTGTGGGTAAGAGGCCCTTGTCCTTATCAACATGAGCACAAGGAGCTTTTGGGGGGGGGGATTTTAAGGATGGGGTGGATTTTAAGGATGCGGTGGCCGCCCGCTCCTTAACAACCAGCTATTCACAACAAATTCAGATCATTTCGAAAACGTATCAAATCTTCCAAAACAGTTTGGAAAACCTTTCAAATCAACCCGGTCTAACGAACAAATGAAATGAATCCCAAAGAAACTATATGAATCCCAGAAATGAACCGGACCAACACAACTAATACTAAGAAACTAAATGGTCAACCTAACAAATGCATCTGAAACAAAATGAAATTTTCCAGTGTGTACATGTTTAGTGGTCAAGCTGGTGTGAGCAGGCCCTTAATCTGGGAAATATGAATAGAATATTTTATATAAATAGTTAATATTTATTAACACTTACAAAATGTAAGAAACAAGCCAGCATAAAATGCATAATTTCATTACATGGCTCACCAACCGCTCTCCCGGATGGTCATCAGTACAAAACCACCTTTAGGGCTCAGCTCCTTCCAGTATATAAGTGTTTTTAATCTGGGAGCTAATAAATTGTTTTATAAATAGAGAGCAATATGGTTCCATTTTTCTGCTTTCCATTATACATATTATATGAGAGCGTCAGCTGGAGGAGTGTGTACTGTGGCGGTGCCAGGAGAGGAGCTGGAGAAAGACCATAAAGGGTGCACTCATTTTGAGCGCATAATGACCTATTGATGAGGTCATAAATTGAGGTGAGCAGATTTTTCACCTAATGGTGGTGGCACAGTTGGCACTGAAGAAGAGAGAAGATTTATCTTTTACACATTGAACAGTGGTGTTAGAAGAGACTTTTTCATGGGACTTTAGTTATTGTTTATTATCTATTTTTAAATAATATATTAGTCTGTTGCGCTACACTTTATTGTTATTCAATATCATATAAAATACAATCAGTAATTCATACAATATTGTTCATAATAGCTGCGCTTCACACATGCTCATTCTAGCAGACCTTACCCTATATAAGTGGAATGGATGGCATGCTGAGTTAGACAGAGGGCCAATGGCTGGCTCCTTAACTTCATAAAAATGAAACCAGCAATCAGTCATAGGCTAATGATGTCAGTACTCAGACTATGGACTAAACATAGTCATGAAGCTATGTAACCCAATGATTCTACTAACAAGAGTCAGTAAAAGGAACTAGACTTTGACAGAGCCATGTGATGAGTAACTTCATATAAATAAGCCTAAAGAGACTGCCGCCATCAGCTGACTAAAATATATTATAGGCTTACAGTCTCAGATTACCTACAAACATACCGTAATGTTTTTACCTTTGCCTGGGTCATCTCATTCACCTAAAAGATAACTCCACCTGGAAAAACATTTAGCAAACAAAAACATAGTCTATATAATTGCCACAAAAGCCATATTGTAATTTAATGCTATTTAAAATTACATTATCTTTTCAATCTGTCTTCGTTAACATTTCTGAAAAAGAAATGTAATTTCCTGCTTGTGTGATTGGCTCACTGATTTTCCCTGGAGTCCGCACTAAACTATAAGTCATATTTTAGGAATCCCCTGGAATATTTAATGAGATACTCCACAAGGGTTAAATACTTCTAATTTTTCATTAGAACATGAAGAGTGCACCAGCTGATTATAATAAACCAAGACCTCCCATTTAGAATCAGTCTGCAAAGGATATGGTGGGGCAAACAGCTATTTCTTCAGAGCAGAAACAGGTAAGAACCTTCTACAAAGTTTGTTAAAATCCCTGCAATGTAGATTGATCACCCAGAGGAGATTGTATTTTTTTCTACAGTGGAGTTACTTTTTTATGATATAAATGAACTTAGTATGGTAGAGGTATTCCTTACACATGCAATTGTCACAGCTGCCTCGTTAATATCTGGTGGTAGAAATGTTATCCATTATACCCATACATTAGTTATCACCAGAATGTGTCACATACCTTGGCAGGCACTTGAAAGTATACCGCTCAGTGGGAATGAGACTTGGCAACTGAGAGAGATTTGGCGGACTGGAACAGTGCCTGGTCTTTTGTAGCTAAATGCTCATTTAACACAGCCACCTTGCAGACAGCATATAAAGTGCTTCTGTTTTGGTATTGGGTCCCTGCTGGTATTGCTCATGCATATCCATTCTACAGTGACCGCTGTTTCTGGGGTTGTGGCCTTAGGGGTGATGTTTTGCATACATGGTGGACGTGTCCTAGATTAATTGTTTTTTGGTCTCCTGTATTTGGCCTCCTATTTACCTTGTTTCATCTGCCCATTTGTAAGGAGACCAAGTTTGCCTTATTACACTGCCCCATCCCAGGTCTGTTTGCTCATTTATTTCTGTCAGCTAAAAGAACCATTGCCCAAGCCTGGAAAAAAAAAGGTAAATCCCCTATAGGGAGTGAGAGACCGTATGACCACGTTGATGTTCAGTGAAAAGATGTCCAGCATCTGC